TGACCTTCCAAGACACCAAGGACCTTGACCATGCAGGTCTTGCTTTTAGGTGTCATATCCTGTTGCTTCCCACAAGATCATGGTGGTCCCTCACTGCTGTTAACCCCTTGCTGTTCTCCAGAGTGACAAATCTGTCACTGTTCTCTGCAGTGACAAATCAGCCCACAAGGAGGAAGGATCAGGGTCCAAAGTGCAGGGAGCTCTAGAAATATTGGCACAAAACAGAAGAAAGGTGTACAAAAGATAAGGACAAACCCTAGACTGACTCCCACTTTGTCTTCTTTCACACACACTAGTTTCTATTTCTAGTCCATAGCTGCTTCACTATTAAAAGTATCAGCTATGCAGCAGACTTGAAAGGACTTAACTGTAGAGGAAAACGAGGAGAAAAATTGGTGTAGAAAGAGAGAGCTGAACCATCAGTAGAAAAGCCAAGGGGAACAAAACTGCCAGGTGGGGATGCATGACTACGGGGTCAGAGGCATGGTGAGGAGGRAGGGAAGSTAACAACCAGCAGCATTGCCTGAMCTACATCTGTTTATTTCTGCTGGCYGAAGTACCCATCTGGAGGTAAAGGAGAGCTCACTGGGACATACATGAATKCAGTGAATATGGCATTAATGGCTTTTACACTACAGACCCTCTAATTAAGATTTAGGCTTTCAGGCTGTGTGGGACCCCTGGAATTTGCTGCTAAATTATAAACCATGCCTTGGTTTCCTGCAAACTTTGCCAGTTGGTGTGATGTCCCTCAGGCATTTCTTGTATTTGTCTTTGATAACTCTTTCAAAGTGCCCTGATTTTACAAATAACCTTGTAGTTACTAACTCATGGAAGCAGAGTGACATCAYCTCCTACTAAAAGCTGGCACATGAGCACAATGAAAAATAAACTAAGTACAAGACTGAGCTTTAGTGGTCCATGTGATGCTATACTAGAGATAACACAGTTCTGTTAAATCCCTGTGGGAAAGACTTAGTCTCCAGGCARATATGCATAAAAGCACCAGCATGGGCACCTGACACCAGAGAGACCAATGCACGGAAGGAGATGGGATGCTCTGAGGCAAATAACAGTATTTGAGCCCAGTGGTATTGGTTGATATCCTGTACCTTCATGATGTCTGCCACTTTTGGATGCTCCCTGAATAAGTGGACAATAAGGAACAACACAGAGTTTTGTGGACACTGACCCAGGAAGGCAGTAATGGGTAGAGACAGCATGTCCCTCACCACCTTCAGTAAGGAAACAGCTTGAGCTTGCCTACAGCAGGACAGATGTGTGGTTTAGTTGTTGCAGGTAAAGCAGCACTTTTTAAAAGCCTCATCTAATTAGATATCCTACTTGGCACCGTGTTTAGGCCCATAAAACATTAGGGAGAGATACCTGAAAGCAGTGAGGAACAGTGAGCAGACCTMGACCACCCTCATTGCTTTCTGTGGCCAGGAAGCAGAGGGAAATCTCTGTTTCTCACTGAGAGTAACACCAACTGCTGGGCATTCATGTTCTCACTGTCTCCAAAACACAGGGCCCAGCAGCATGATAAGCCAGTCCCTTCCCACTCCACAGCTCTACGGTAAGCTTGTGGAGACAAGGCTGGGCTGTTATCATGAATGTGCAGAGCAGGGCKGAGTTGAGTTACTGGAAAAAGTTGGTTTTGGACCGCTCAGTTACCGGAAGGTAGATGCTCGTGCTAGGCACAAGGACACAGAAAGCTGCAGATGCACTGCCACTGTTTTCTTCTAAATATTTCCCTTCAAAGGACCCTAACAAACAATTTCAGAACAGTCTGATAATCTTGGATGTTCACTGGGAATACCAAAATGGAGAAGACTTTCAAAAGGTGYTTAGCAAGCACCTGCTAAAAACCTRGTTCCTCCCCAGTGTCCCAGACTGAGAGCCAGAACCACCAGATGCTTCAGAAAAGCCCAGTCTGCCCTTCAACCACAGTTTTTTCCTAAATTTCCATTTTTCAAACTGAAGTTTTCCAGACTGGTCTCTGTCTTGCTTGGGATAGAGGAGAAGACATGCTCTGCAAATGCACYGTTGCCTTGAAGCTGACAGCAAGGTGGTTTCATTAGTAAAAWGAATCCAGCAGAGAAAGGAGGGCGACAGCATGAAGTGATGCCAAGAAAATAATTCCCCGATACTGTAAAAAGCAGTTTTGTTCTAGCAAAGGCCTACGGGTACAAAATAACTGTTCCCATACATCTATTGTAACACCATTCAATTTAAAAAGTCTTCCCTCTCATGTATGGGCTATTTTTAATAGTTAAAATTGAGGAAAAAATGTCAATACATTCCTTATTAGACTTGTCTACACACAGCCATACTTGAAACAATAAACCCAATTTTGTTATGCTGATACAAATCTCTCAATACTAGGTCAAAGGAGAATCTGAGAAACTTAATCTCTGCAATATATCCAAGACAAAATGAAGAGGTACTTCATTACAGTCTGCAAGAGGTCTCTGGCAATTGAGAACACCATTTCTGAGCAAACAAAAGGAAAAAGAAATTCAACAATTTGAAGAAAGCAAAACTAGAAAAATGCAGATTGTAAACAAAAGAGCTATTCAGAGCACCATAACTAGCCATGAGAAGAAAAAATGTCCAGCAGTGCTGTATCCTTTAAGTCACCTGAAGACTTTACCTCAAGAGTGGGTGTCTTTGGAAAASCAGACACATTCTATTTCAACTTCAATTTATGTGCTTGGTTGTGGAAATCATGAGGTGAAATGTGATGGATTAATGAAAGGCCCAGGCTAAATGAGCATTATGGTTCCCCTTGCTTYGAACCTCTCTATTCTGAAGAGTAGCTCAACTTGGTTTGACTGAAGTCAATTTCTCAGTAACTTAAGGTATGCTGGAATACATGTGGTTTAAATGAAGTAAGTAATCTGCACCAATTTAATTAAGTCTTTTTGAAGTCCTCTTTAGTTAAACCAGTGGAAGTTTCTCATCAAAGACACAGCTTCCCTGAATAGGAGAAAACAGTTAGGAAGATCCCAGAGCCCAGTGTTGTTCCAGGAAACACACTTATATTTTTTGCATGTTTTCACAATTACAAGCAGCTGTAGTGACAGATCAGATKTCCAGTCCTTTCTAAGGAAAGTGTGCATCTGTTCTATTTATTTCTAGCCTCTCAAAGGATTCTTTAAAATGATGCTCTTTTATGTCGACCAGCTGCGGCAATCCGTGCAAACCATTGCAAGGGTGTAACACAGGGAGGGCCAGTGTTTTCATATCGGTGCTCCAGGCCCTCCCTTTCATACTAAATACTTGGGATACATTTTCAGTCTTCTCAATTAGTCAGCCAAAAAAAGACAGGAAGGAAAAGGTCTACATTTTCAGCTGAGTATAAAAATGTCCATTGGTCAACTTTCTCATGGACATCATGGGAGAGTGGCTCTGGCTACAAACCTTTGTTCTGCTTTAAATCTTAGCCAGGCCCAAGCATTCAAAAGGAGAGGCTGAGTAAAGGGTGCATTTGGCAAAAATGAAGGACAACGGCCAGCCCAAGACACCTCACCCTGATGAAATCCAGGCTTTGGCATAAATCTTAGTGTTAAACAAGGACAGAGAAAGCTGAGTAGCAGCAAAACAGAAAAATACAGGCCCCCTCCCCACAAAACCCAGCTTCTGTTCCAACTTCTTCTCATGCAGTGACCAAACCAGCATSTGCAAATACCAAGTGGAAACCATCCTAATAGCAAAACCTGTATCACTTGAGGGAAAAAAATCCCAACCATAAAATAAAATAAACCAYTCTGAGGAGAGACCATATTTCCAGTTTCCCAGAGATTTACTCTTGTTCATATCCTTGCAAAACTCCCCAATTCCAGTGCCAGGAAACAACTCTGCCACAAAGTCCCGTGGCGCTGACTCGTATCCCGTTCCTCAGAGTCAGCACTGCATCAGCAGGATGCGCATCCCTGCCACTGCCACCGGCTGACACACCAGTTGGCCTCCCACCCCGCACGGGAATCTCATCCTCTCAAACCCAGASATGGAAATAAAAAGGCAGCTGACTTCCAAGAAACAATTTCCAACTGCCTGACCATAGCTTATGCGCTAACACTTCGGTACCCAGRCAGCTAAGTGGAGATGTAAGTCTCTGGAGAAGAAAAAACATCTTGCTCTATCCAGTGTTATCCTATTAAAAGTCCCAGGTAACTGTCAATATTTAGAAGGTAAAAAAAGCAGGTCTGAAGACTTACAGGTCTGAAGGATTTGAAGACTTTTTCCAATATTTCATGGAGTGTCTTTTTCCCACAGGAGGAGATGTAATCCTGTGCAAGCTGCAGAAAAGGTAAGCAGTCCTCACTTTCGCTCCACACGTGCTGAAAGCCAACAGCAACACAAGAAAGGRAAGGCATTAACAGGAATTCACGCCAACTTTTCCATGTGATTTTATAAGGTGACATGTTGTAAACATCTGCCAAAGTACACCGAGCCTCCTGCAGCTCAGACCCGCCCTGCAGACATGCGCTGCAGGCTGTTTCAGAAACCACATTTCTGTGGAGGAACGTGGATTTTATTAATACAATGCATTAGAAAACAGGGAAATCAATCCAGTGGAAATGCCTCATGACTCCACCAGCCATGAAGGGTACACACACTTTGCATACACACATTTTACCTAAAAAGGTGCTTTTGTTTGACATCAGCCCTGCTCAGACCTGGAAGTCATGTTGGGTTTTCTCTTTTTCTGCATCATCWGCTGCAGTGAAGCCCTCAGGAAGAGCTAAAGCATCTCTTTGTCTTCCTGGCATCAGTGCAAATATGATGCGACCCTGGAGGTGGAACTTGATGTGTAATTCTCTTGACRATGCAGAAGAAAAGATGCGAAATCTGCCTGCAGGCTAGACACAGAGCCAAGGAGAGATGTTTGGGCACTCACAGCATCCTGACACTTCAAGCCTCCCACCCTGTTTTGAGATTTACTCCTCCTGGAATACAATCTTCTCTTCCCAGGCATGCATATTYAAATCCATTTGAGATCTTCCTCTTGTCTTACTCCTGCTTTGGAGATGCTGGTTCCCCAGCCTTTCTCTGTGAAGCCTCTCTCAAAGCTCATGTTGATTCTGCTGCTACRAGGCTGATTGAAAAAGAGCTGGCAAGTGATGGAGGGAGCACCCAGGCAACAATGCTTCCAGTGCCCAAGGGCATAAGCTAATGCATGATCTTAAACACCTTCTGCTGAAGACTTAGTGCTGTCTTAGGCAGCCTGCTACACAGAAAAGTGCAATACTGCCAAATTGGTTTGAGACACTTACACCTCTCTTCTTGCACAGCAGCTCTTTTCCCCAAAGTGCCTTTTTACTTGCTATAAACAGCAAGTTATGCTTAAATAAGGAAAAAGGAGGGTCTCTCTGAAGCTTAACTAACATTCAGGGAAAGACTCAAAACGACAGATGTTTCAATCCCTAGCATAAGGCTTGCACATTGCCTTCCTCTTCAGTGGTGAACACCTGCCAGGGATGCAGTTTCGCACTTAAGGAAAGAAAACAGCACTTAACATCACCTAAACTGCACCTTTAAGATAAAACCTGTAACTGCTTTGCTATGAACCTCACTTGACCTACATTTTCTTTGCTGCTTGTTGCACTTTACTGGCATAAACATTGTGAAATGTTTTGTTATGAAAACAGCCCTGCATTACTGAGTAGGTTCTGCTCTTTCCATATAACCAGTCATCTCTTAACCATTCTGGCAATAAAAATAAGTTCTTTACAGTCTTGCCAACTCTCAAATGCACATACCACAAGTCTCATGATACTCCACGCCATCTTAAGAGTCATGGGCCTTGTAATCCTATAAATATACAACTAAATCTCAGCTTCTGTTTACAAAAAAAAAGAAGAAAAGTCTACATTTTGTGATTTCTATGGTCTAAAAAGGCAGAAGGTACATGAAGTGAACTCATATAAGCCCTCTTCAAAATATCAAATGAACATTTTCAAGTCACATTATAAGAACAGCCTTTGGAAAAGATTTTGGAGGTCTGGCCCATGACTTCTTCATACTTGGGGTTAGCAATAACTGTTTAGTTATTCCTAAACTTCAGAGCTGAATGTTGCAGCTTGGCAATTCCTGGCTCATGCTAAACCTGTTGCAATTGTTTATATATTTAAAATGATTATGACTACTGAGATCCTTATTCTTGTTTAAATTGTGGCTTCTTATGACTGCCAGAGCTATACACAGGAGCTTCCACATAAATGAAAATCAGGCCCTGCCCTTCAATAAATAATAGCTGGTTCATTCCCCAGGGAGAGTTAACCCCATGTTGTCATATCATGTTTTCACAATCTCTTTTCAAGCTGCACAACATTTTAGACTCCACTATGAATTTGTCAGCAGTAGGCAGAAAAAGATGATCTAGCACAAGGGGAAAACCTAAGGGAGTAAGCTGATTATTGAGTTTTTGAGATTTTTGCATAGCATCATAGGACAATTAGCAAGTAAGGGTTCCAAAAATCTCCCCATTTACAGAGGATTTAAAATGTTGCCTGTAGTTAACAAACACCCTATGAAAAGTTTCACATGCTATTACTGCACGTATCTCATTCGGAAATGGGTTGATTTAATCTTTTCCCTGAAAAACCTCAACCATAATAAAGACCAGGGTTGTAATGCCTGTAGGTTCAGCTTCATCTACAGCTCTTTGTGGTGGTTCAGTGCTGCACCCAAGCAGCRCGGGAACTGTCTCAGCACTGACTCACCCATCTCCACTGGAACCTGCAAAAGGAATTTCGGTCTTTCAAAATACAAACAAACATAATTTGAGGATTCAGCTCCYGCTTAGAAAGTTAAAGCAGTCAGTAAGGCTGCATATACAGGGATGCTTTTCCTAGAAAACCCAGTGTCTGAGGATCTCTCTGCAGTGGGAGAAGGAGGCTGCTGGCAAACTGGTGGACCACAGTGCCTGGCTGTGGCTGTTCAATTAAAAAAGTATTAACCTCATCATCAGAGTATGTGTTTTCCAAGCTTGCCCAGTTTTACTCATAGTTGCTTTGTGTCAGTACAAAAACACACAGYCACTCATTTCCACCTCGGCTGACCTAGGATCATGGCTGAATTATTTAGTTCAGCACCTACACACAGCACATAGCTGAGAAAATCAATAGGACTGCATCTGGAGGGGTTTGCTTTCCCTCACACCTTTAGATGACTCAGTGTAGCTGGGTGACAAAATCACTTGCTGGCCCACCTTTTTCTAAGCAGCCCACTTGTTGTGCATGATAGCAAAACTTTTTATTTGTGGAGATAATTCGACTTGCAGAAAATATTCAGACCCGCTGACTCTGTTCTAAAATATTTTCAGGAAATCTTGCAGCAAGATGGCATCTTATTTTTATTTATTTTATCGGTTACTTTGAATACCAGTAATAACATGGTGACAAAAACAACATATTATAAGCAATAGCATCACAACCCTCATCCTCCTTGATTACAGCTACAGTTTCTTGAGAACTCCAGGAGCATTGGGAATGGAATTATACATAGTTCAGTAYCTAAAATGCTGATTCTGAGCGTTTTTAGCATCCAGGTGGTACTGAAAGTGCCAATAAGCATCTACATGAGTCTTTTGCATCTCTAGAATATCAAAAGCCTAGCCTAAAGATATCTTTTCAGGAAATGAAAAATATTAGATTGTTGTGATCTGAGATCTCTGATTTTAGACAAAATGCTGTGTTAATTCTCCCACAGTTTGCATCTTGGCAACATTTCCATGTTTTTATCCACTCCTCCTTCCTTTTAAGTTCAATATGCTCATTTCCTCCTTACAAGTGGGTTATCATGGAATTCTCTGGCACCTCCTACATAGCTTTTTAAGTCGCATCATTATGAAATGAAGACGTAAAGAACAAGAATACCAAGCATCAGATGCTTATTAAATGTGGGGCTCCTTTAGAAAGTCACAGGGTGCAAAAAGACTGTAAAGTGTGTCACTGAATTCTGTTCATATTTACTCACTTTCACACTCCACTGTGTTAAAGGAGTCATGCAACAAAGCTTAAAGTGAAAACGACAATCAGTCCCTTGGCTTGTATTAAGTCTCCTTAAAATAAACTTTAGCCTGTAATTGCACACAGAAAGTAAAATTATAATCTGGATCATAACAAAAAGAAGAAAAAGAAAGTGACTGCAAAAAAACCAAGATAATCAAGCTGGGAGCAGAAATTAGGTCCCACAGTGCACTAGGAGCAGGAAATGGGATGCCGGAGARTCTGCTCATTAGTGGGTCTTAATCATATTAAAGAAATACCATCAACATAAAAAGAATTAAGAATGACACCTATCTGCCAGTCTTAAAGGTATTATCATTACAAAAATTGCCTTTACTAATAATGCTAAAAAAGACAGAAGAAAACACTGCTTTTAGTTTTCCACTGTTTATGTTCCACATTGACAGGAGTTGGCCCYTCACTCCATTTTACTAGTGGTGACTCTGGGCAGGCAGTCTGTCCCACAGCAACCCTGGAACAAAAATATTTTCCAGAAAAAARRAAAAAAAAAAGGGAAAATGTGATTTTGCAAAATGAGATTTGCAAACTCAAAAAAAAAAAAAGGGCAGCATTGGAATAAAGTTGGAAACAGCTTAAGATTTTTTTTGAAGTTGACTAGACTTGGTTTGAAAGAGTTCACTCAATTATTGAACAATGTATAAAGAAACAATACATGTCTAAGAAAAAGAAATGGAATTTCTTYGTAATTTTCCTTTATCATTAATGTCCAATCACAGTTTTAGCCTAGTGCTGCACTGGATTCATATATACTGCAGCTCAAGAGTGCAGCAGGCATGGCCCTTTCAGGGCACAGGCATCTGCAGAGAGGAATGAGCATTGGGGTCTGACAGGCTCAGAGGTGCTGAGAAGATGGATGTGCTATTCCCACAGCGGACTGAGAGAATCCACACCCTGAGATACTCTATTGCTACATCTGAAGGTCTCACGTATCCCTCAACAGACACATAACTAAACTCCGGGTAACCTCTTTCATAATTCAGCATGACCATCTACCCGACACAATAAATAAGCATCCAGCTCGYTGGGATCTGTGGTCCTGGAGAAGTCCCTTCAGTGCTCTTTGTTTCCATGCACCCATCTGTCAAATGGGCTCACTCTGCACTTACCTGTTGGAAAGGGAACATTTGTCAAGGAGGTGGAGAGATGAAACTTGCTCCGTGAAGGGAAGAACCTACAACATTCCTACAATAATGGTCTGTGCTAGGAGCTGTTTTGTTAAAAAGAGCAAACCAAAATCCTTTCATTGAAGTTAACAGGCACTTGGCAGCCTACAAACCCCGTGCCGAGGTGCCGCTTTACAGCGACTCTTCCCGCACTTCTGCTCACCATCGGGAGAGTCCGGGCGAGGGGAAAAGCAACCCCCGACCCTTCCCAAAGGCAGGGGTTGTGGTGACGGAGCGYTTTCTGCACAAACTCGGCGCTGAACTCCGCGAGGGGCGGCGGGGCGGGGGCGCGGCGCTGCCCGGCCGGCACCTGCACGGATCCCGCGGCGGGCCCGGAGGAGCGGCGGGGGGGGCGCGGCCCTCCTGTCATCCTGACTCCATTTTATTCCTGCCCATTCTCCATTTGCCGTGACAGCCCTGCCAGTCCGCCCGTCCCCGCGCCGTGCCCCAGCCCCGGCACCCCGGGAGGATGGAGGGGCCGCGGGGGGAGCGGCAGCTGCAGCCCCCGCGGGGCGCGGGGCAGACGGGGGGGCTCGCACCGCTCCTCTCCGCCCTCCCGGAGCCCGCAGCTCCCCGGGCCGGGCGATGGGGAAGGCGGGGGGGTGGGGTGTCCCTGCCCGCAGCCCTGCCCGCGGGGCCGCCCCCCACCGGCAGCGGACTCCATTTTGCAGATTGTGGGAGGATCCCCCCGGCCCCCGGCCCCGCCGCCTTCCATCACCGCATCCCTCCCTCGCGGGCACGGCCCCGTCCTCCGCCCCCCTCCGGCGCTCCCCCTCGGGTGCTCCCCCCGGGCTTCGGGGACCCGCGCGGACGGGGCGTCCCGGAGCGGTGCGAGGGTTCCCCGCGCGTCCACGCACACGGCACGGCGGGCGCCCCGCACGCCCGCGACACCCGATCCCCTCCCGGGGCACTCACGAAATTGTCGCCGCAGGCGGCCTCCGGGCACAGCACGTAGAAGGAGACGCCGGGCTCGGCGTAGAAGTCCATGCGCCGCTCCGTCTCCTCGGCGGCGATGAGCTGGAAGGGCGTGCGGGCGCACCATCGCTCCGCCGCCTCCGCCAGCGCCTCGAAAGCCATCGC